TCAAGCAGATAAAGTAAAACTATACATTTATTATATAGTATAATGCAGGTTAGATTGACTTGAGTAATAGAATGTTTATAATTCATTCACATTTCTTGAATATAACACTGTTCAGTATTTTGAAAAGTTACTCAAAATTTAATAACAATATTTTTTATAACACAGAGCTGTCAAGTAAAAAAGTCATTGCTCCTTCCTCAGGTTTTGCAAAATCACCGTAGACACTGAAAAGTATGGGAACTAATATTTGGAGATTTAATAAAAGGAAACATCTTCCACTCCCCCTGATTAACATTATCAGAAATAGATCTGAAATGGGGATGAAAGAAGCACGAAGCTCTTATCTGAGAAGCAAAGCAAAAACTGATAGAGTAGGAAGACTAGAGACATAATTAAGCTGTGTGCCATGGTTTTACATGGAAGTGACAGAATTCAGTTGATATTATTGGGGGAAAGGGTGGATTGCGAAGTTTTTCTCAGCGTAAAGAACTGTATAATTCTGGTTAATACTAAAGCTGTGACCTTAATCTGAGATGCAAAGCATAATAGCAAAGAGACTTTGAAGCTGCCATTTTATATTCTGTTTAGACAGAAGAAATCCATAGCCTTATTGAGGCACCAAGCTCAGGGAACTCAGACAAACCTCTTTAGCACCTTGAAGGATGTATGCGTGTGGGTGTGTCTGTGCGCACACGCTCCAAACAGAATAGTACATGAACAAAACTTTCCATCTCTCACTGAAGCTACCAGACAGATAATACTATACAGTATGTAACCTGATAGTTTTCATAAGGAAATGACGGTAGGTGTTTGATGTCTCTTTAGAAGCTGGCAAGGATGGTGCAGCGACCACCCTTTGTAATTTAGCAGAAAGTGCCAATATCAAAAAATGAAAATCAAAAGACAGCATTTAAGGAGATGGAAATGGTCTACAGAGATATTTTGGGCAATCTGTCTTTCAGGAAGACTGACGGTATTGTAAACATCACCTGTCGAGCTAAAAAGAAAACAATGCCTTTTAAAGCTGGATAGAGAGAGAGAGGTGATGTCCACAGCTGTTCAAGTCTCTGGCAAAGCATTCGGTACAGCTCTAGTTTCATTTGATTCCTATGAAACATGTGTTCTTCATTTATTATACATGCACTTTAAAGTATTCTGACAAATTGATTATAGGGACTTACAGATGTTTTTCATGATTTGTATTTGTACTTGGTAGCAGTACATGCAGCACTGTGATAAATTGACATTAGAGAGTCATAATCTTGTATAATCTTATATCCACAATGGTGGAATATCTGTATATGTGTCATTCTCTTTCGATTGGAGGAAAAAACTAAGAAGCCTTATGCAACTTAAGGATTAACTCCAGACGTTCCAAACGTGTTTACGTGTTTTCCATTTTATAAAATAGTTAATGATGACGATTCCTACATCCTCCTTTAGGGGACCTGCCTGTGCTCAAACATTACATTCAGTAGCACGCTCGTCTGACAATTTAGTAAGATACTAGAAAAAACTAAGAAGGAATTTCTTTTTCCGTAGAGGCAAAGTGAAAAACTGAAAAGTAATTCAAGTAGTTTATTGTACAACTTGATGTAAGCAATCTAATAAATGCTACCTTGACACATTTTGTATTGTCTTTAGGGTAAAAGCCAATATTCAGCAGAAACTGACCATAACTCATAAGATACATGGTCAGGGAAAGAAGTATATCCCATCAATTGTCTCCATGAACTGGTTTTCAGTATAAATACAGCAGTAGTTCACCAACCTTCAGGTGTGCCTGCCAAAGATTTACAAGGATAGGGGAGCATCTGTATGTCGGGAGATCCCCCAGACCTCTGTTCAGTCGTGAAGAAAGAATTTCCACACAGTCTCTTGTCTTCCAGCCCTCCTTCCCTTATGCAGTGACACCTATGGTGGTGCTACTGACAGAACTGGAGAGCTGGAGGCAAGCAGAATTTGTCCAATTGCTATTTTTAGAATATATATATGTGTGTGTATATATCTGTGTGTGTGTGTGTATATATATATTTTAAAAAAACAGCACACCATTTTAATTTTTAATGTTGGCACTCAATTTTTTACAGATTCTTGGTGCTACTAATATAGCAAGAGTGCACTCCATCAAAATTAGAAACTGAATGAATAAAAACTGGGAAAGAATACACAAATTCTATAGGATGATTACAATTGTATTGAAATTAGGTCATACTGTATTAAATTATTTGGGCAATTTCTATAGAGACTGATATATCTCCATATATAGAAGAAACAGTCTTTACGTATGTATTTATAGCCAGTTCTGCTGGATATCATTAGAAGAGGCTACTGTCAGTACCCTCAAAAACTGATCTGTTCTATTTACAAAAGTAATAAAAAGACAGCAGAACAGCACATTCATGTTGAATTTAAAGCGCTTTTTTTATACTGTTAAAGAAGTTGATAATAATAATTCTGCATTCAAACGTGTGCTTTTACTGTATACATGGAGCTATTCAGTAATTTAATTCCATAACATTATGTGAAAGATTAATAACATGTATTAATCTGTGTAACACCATCTGTGTACTGCTGCAATACCAAGTGTGCTCGTACGCAGTTACTAAGATGAAGCAGCAATGAGCAATGAATTGATCATAGTTCATACTAAGGCAACATGGCAGTGCGCTTTCCTGGTTGCATACAGAAATTGCAAAACCTCCTAGATGTGGACATGAATTTGCAGAGATTCAGGACACAAAGCCCTGTGAGGTCTGTGGGCAGAAGAGGCTTTTTTCTGAAAATATTTTGACAGCTAGTTAAAATAAAACTTGAAAAGTACCTGTTTCAGAGTTTGTATTACATGTATGTTAAGCATTACACAAGATCATTGTCTATCCATGGAAATAAAGAAACAATAAACAGATCCAAATTAATTTTTAAGAATTATGAAAAGAAACCAATTAGCCCTCGTTTTAGGGGATATACATATGGTAATAATGAATTTGGGGTTGTTTCACATTTAAGCTACATGCCCACTCAGTGCTGCAAAACCTGCACTGCACTGAGTGCAGTAGGCTGTGACTGGAAGCTGTTGAGACACAGTGTTGGACATACCTTTGTCAGTTTTGATTCTAAGGAACTGAGTCAGAGGAAATTATTGAAAGATGTTCCACTGTTTCGCCACTTTTCCATGACATGTCACCGCTCTATGTGGTGCTGAAATGACAAGTCCTCCCAACATTGTTCTTCATGTTTTGTTCTGTTTTCTAATGCTGTATTGCTTGTCTGTATGTGACTATATTAGAAGGAATTGTAAACAGTAATGTGGATCATCTGAATTCAAACACTGCAGGCATGACCTACAGGCACGTATCAGTCTCAGGTAAGGTGAGTAGTGGTCTTGCTTCAAACCTTCCGTCTATCCCTTTCCCTGTGAGTCAATTTCCAGATGACATCACGGAATATCAGCTGCATTTTTGCGCTGGCTCTTGCCCAGAATACATTTTCTGCCCTGTCCTCTATGTGGCTACGGTTACGAGGTTTGAGACAAGTGCGAACCTACTTTTGTGCTGATCTCAGAGCTGAACTGTGGTATCAGTTGCACATCTTTGCAGCATAGGCACTGTATGCAGTTGTAAGGATAAAGTGGCTTCCTATCCAGAAGTTCTCCCTAATGCTATAATAAATTCTGATACAAATTTTAGCACCAGTCATTGTTCAGTGTCAGTTGAAGACAGTGAGATGGATCCAATGTTTGATATTTTGCACGGCGATTCTCTTTTCTCGATAACTTTTCCCAAATGATGCTGAACTAATTACTTATTTTAATTATTTGTTCTCACAGCTCCCTTATCATGTAGGGCCTTTCTCAGATTCCACTATGTAAAGAAAACTGAAAATCAATGGCTTTTCACCAGTGAATGACAATGTCTATGATACATTTTACAGATCCTACATCATCAGGCAAAGTTTGGGATGAAGTTGTGCCTCTGTATTTCAGTTGAAAGACAATGTTTAGAACGTTTCAGTTATATTTGGATCATCTTACTCTGCTTGTTGAGTGCTGTTACCAGGGTGATCTTTTTGTGGGATGACAGCTGCACCCAGCTCTCCACTGTAATCATGAATAAACCATTCCAGTACTCTTTACAGTCAATAATGACCTGAAGGAAATTTTACAAGGATGTTCCTGAAATATTTTGCAGGAGATGGAGTTATGAATGATATAAAAAGAATATCTG